ATGCTTTTCCTTGCCCTCTGGAGCTCATGGTCAGTCCTAAATAAAATTTTCATATCCTCATCCTTTTCAGTTAATTTTCCTTTCATCTTTTTCTTCCTCAGTGGGCTCTGGTTCCCTGTGGCTCTCTGAGGTGGTGGCTATTTTCTCTCCCATGCTCTACACACCATGGCATTTGAAGGCAGGTAAGTGACCCTCTAGCTTCTCATGTCTTCTTTCCCCACCTCTTCTCCAAAAAAACGTTTAGCTTTGACTCTCATGACATCAGATTAAATCATCTATTCCTCTTGTTGTGAAGTCATCTACTGATGCCTAGGCCTCTGTCTCTTATTCCATGAAGATTTTAACCACAGACTCACAATCACTGCCTCTAACTATCCCAGTCATGATTTCAATACCCACATAGCCCAGTTTCCCCAAATCATGGCCCCTTGGTTCCTTGACCTCCTCTCTTCTAGTGATCTTGCCCTCTATTCTATCTCAGTCACTTATTCCCATAATCCCAATTTCAAACATTCTGCTAGGGATGTCTGGGTGGCTCAGTTGGTTAAGCTTCCAACTTTGGCTCAGGTCATGATCTCACGGTTTGTGAGTTTGAGCCCTGCGTCGGGCTCTGTGCTGACAGCTCGGAGCCCGGAGCCTGCTCCAAATTCTGTGTTTCCCTCTCTCTCTGCCCCTCCCCACTCCCTCCCTCTCCCTCTCTTTCTCTCTCTCTCTCTCAAAAATAAATAATAAACATAAAAAAAATCTAAAAAACCTAGAAGAATGCCCTTTAAAAAAATTCGGCTATCCAAACACCATCCCCTACATTTCCAGCTCTCTTACTTTGGCCTCCAACTCCAAAACTCCTTTCCACTAGACCTACAGTTTATGGTCATGACTACTCTCCACTATTCCTCACCCATCTCATGTTTCACTTCCATCCTTGCTCAGTTAAGATTTAATGGTCAATCATTTCAGTTACTCTCTTGCCTTTCCCTTGATTTATCATACTCTTCATACTTGCGAGAGCCTTAATTAAGTCCACCTTTCTACCTGATACACGTCCAAACCCAGAGAGCTAAATGTGGCTGGAGAAATTGCCTCTCTTTAAGTTCATAAATATTAATAATCTCAAGAGGGTCCTTAATGCTACCTCACAGTCAAAACTCTATTTCCTTAGTCCAGTCAATCTCTTTAGACCCCTAGACGACTATTGCATGGCTTCTGATCTCTTCTCAAACCTAACATCTCTACCTTCTTTCCTTTTCATGTTACTAAGAAAATAGAAGCAGTGAAAAGAAAACTACTACAAGCTCCCCCCTCCCGCCATCATGCTTATTTGTACCTCTGTGCATCTACTGCACCTCCATTTGTCTTCCTATGAATGAATTGTACATGTTTTTAGCTAGAGCTCCCCAATTGCCTTGCATTACATTCAATCTCTTACCTGCTCAATGATATCACTTCTTGAAATTTTCCTCCATCTCCTGCACCATTGAGTCATTGCCATTAATCATACAAGCATACTGTCACTTTCATATTATTTAAAAACCTACGTGTCCTGACTTCATTCACCCGTCTAGATCCTCCTGCATTTCTTCCTTTTAAGGAGAACTCCTTCAAAGATTAATTATACTCACTACCTCAAATATTTCTCCTCCCATTCTGACTTGAACCCACTCCAATAAGGCTTTTTGCCATTCTCCCCTGCCAAATGCTTCATGGAATATGCACTTATCAAGGTCAGCAGTTGAATTCAATTGTCGCTAAATTCAGTGGTTGATTCTCAGTCCTTATCTTACATGACTATCAGCAGCTTTTGGAATATTCTTTCCTGAAGCACTTTCTAGAAAATCTGGCTTCCAAGAGACCATGTCCTCCTGATGTTCCTCTTTGTCTCCAGCTGCTCCTTTTCACTTTCTTTTGTTGATTTCTTCGTCTCTCCATAACCCTCATATGTTAGAATATCCCAAGTTGGAGGACTTGGACTGTTTTCTGTTTACATTCAATCCCTTGGTGTGAGGTCATTAATCCCATGGCTTTAAATATCACTTATATTCTACTGACTTATGTGCCCAGTTCAGGCTCTCCGTTAAAATCTAGATCCACACACCCAAGTGCCTACTTGTCATCTCCAGTTGAATGTCCAGTAGGTCCCTAAAACTTAGCATGTCTAAAATGGACCTTTTAATTTCTTACACTTCAGCTAAACAAAGAAACAAACCCCCTTCCCCACTCACAGTCTTCCTCATCGAAATTAATGCCAACTCCATTTTTCCAGTTGCTTGAAACCAAAAGTGCAGAGTCATCATTGATTCCTTTCTTTCTCTCATATCCTACATCCAATCTTTCCCCAAATACTGTTTATTCTGCCCTCAAACTTGAATTGGAACCTGATCACTTCACACGTCTCCCATGCTGATAGCCTAGTCTGACTACCACTTTTGCCACAGTCTCCTGACTCCCCAGGGTATGCAGAATGCAATATAATGATCTTGTGTCAGAACATGACAGCTCATGTTTAAAGTTCTCCAGTGGCCTTATAGTGACCAAGAGGTTGCATGATCATGGTCACCATTATCACTTTGACTTCATCCCTATTGCCCTTTCATTTTTTCACTCTACTCTGGGTCCCTTTTCTTAGTTCCTCTGTATGCAAGAACACACTTGCGTTAGAGACTTAGCACTTGCTCTCTGGAATGCTCTTTCCCTCAATATCCACATGACTCAATCCTTCATCTCCCCTCCATCTTTACCCAAATGTTACCTTCTCAGGGAATTCTTCTTTGGCCACCTGTTTCAGAGTTGTGACTCCATCATCCACCTTTCATACTTTATTTTTCTCTTTGACCTTTATCATTACCTAAAATTCTACGAGTTTTTCTTATTTATTTTGTTGTCTCCTCCACTAGAATCTAAGATTCCATGGGAACAGAAAATTTTAGCTGTTTCATTTATTTCTGAATTCCCACTGGCCAGCAATATTTAGAATAGCAAACACCCAAGAAATATGTGTGGAATGAATGACCAAGTATTTTGGAGAAAGAACCAGATGGAAATTCAGGAAATAAAAAAATAAAATAATTGAAAGTGAACACCTAAAATCTAGATTAAAGAGAAAAACATTTTTCAGAGAACACTACAATATCAACAAAAGAAATATACTCCATGATTCATCTTAGGAATCTAACATAAATTTGATACCCAAAGCAGCAAGAAGGGTAAGTGAGAAAAGCAATAAACACATCGTCCCGTGAAAATTGATTAAAAATCCTAAACAACATTTTATCAAACAAAATCCAGAAGTGTATGAAAAAATAATATATCATAGCCAATATTATAATTCCATTCAGAAAAATTTCAAAATTAGAGCATACTAACAATACAATCAACCTTCATTATCCAGATCTATTTGGCACCTGAGTTTAAACAGTGACAGTCTGAATAATGAGTTAGGATACTTACGCGTGCCTCAGTTGAGTATATTTATTTTTTAAGGTAACATACACATATTGACTCTGTGTGTGTGTGTATGCTGTTCTATGAATTTTGACCTATGTATAGATTAATGTCACCACCACCACCACAATCAGGATACAGGATAGTTCCACTGTAACCTTATAAAATTCTTTTGTGTGATCCCTTTATAATCATACGCTTCCCCAGTTCTCAATCCTTGTCAACCACTGATCTATCTGTTCTCTGTCACTGTAGTTTTGGAATTTTTTAGAATGTCATGTAAATGGAATCCTACAGGATGTAATCTTTTGAGACTGGCTTCTTCCCCTCAGAAAAATAACTTTGAGGTTTATCTAAGTTGGTGCGTGTATCAACAGTTCACTCCTTTCTATTGATGAATGTGGGTGTGCCACGGTTTGTTTCTTTCTTCACCCACCGAAGGACATTTGGGTTGTGCCTGGGCTTTGGAGATCACAAATAAAGTTATTATAAATACTTAATGAGTTTTCTTCTGAGTGCACGTTTTTGTTTCTCTTGTATAAATACCAAGGAGTGGGATTGCTGGGCCATAAGGTAAGCATTTGTTTAGTATTATAAGAAATGTCCAGAGTTTTTACCTTCCCACCAGCAATGTGTGAGCATTCCAGTTGCTCCATAGCCTCACCAGCCCTTGGTGTTGTCAGGATTTTTTATCTTAATTATTTTATAAGTATGTAGTAGAAACTGAAGACTTCTGGCTCCCCAAATTTGGAAAGCGAATAACTAGATTTTGATGATGAGAGAACTCTCTAAAATTTTATCTTAATTTATTTGGTTGTTTGTTTAGATACGATACAAGCCTATGTGGTGAAATTATGAAGAAAGGCAACAAACTGATCAGGGTAAGAGTAGATAGAGGTTACCTACTGTGGGAAGGGAGGCAGATGTCATCCATTAGGCCCATAAGGGGCCTAAGATACTGGTGATGTGTTAGTTAGGAAGCAGGCTGGTAGACACATGTGGCCTATTTTAGTATTATACTTGAAACTATACCCATGTGCTTGATATACTTCATAATTAATTTTTGAAGAAATGTCCAAGCATACAAAACACACCAAATCCCCAAAGTAATGCAGAAAAAAATATTCTAAAACCACTTCTTCCAAGAGTTCAAATACAGTCAGTTGAAAAACTTAAAAATAAAAGCATTTGGTAGAATTTGAACATAAGACTTTCTTAAAGCTTATTTAAATCTAAAATCATTTCTTTAATACGCCTGTGCTTGTGTACATCTCGTAGGCTAAATTGCTGATGGGCTATTCAGGTCAGTAATGAGCTTCTTTCCAGAAGCCTCAACCTATACACGGAAGGGTGGTCATGGCAAAACCATCCTTAATCATTGGCAAAGAGCAGCTTCTTCTGGAAACCATGACCACAACTCGACTTTGTCTAAGAAGCACATTGAATGTATCATCTTTACTATTCACAAATCTTTAGACACACCCCAGGTCACAATCAGCACTATACAACTCTTCAGTGGTCTTTTCCTATTGCCACCAACACCTTGTAAGGAGAAAGTTTACCTGTAACGACACTGGGAATTTTGGAGAGAAAGCTCTTGACTGTTCTGATGGGCACACCCCCTGTCTTGTCATCTTGCATCTTTGTGATGATGTCTTCAATCTGAAAGAGAATAAGGAAGTGTCATTTTCCTCCGTAAAGCAATGATAAATGATACCTTTATTAACAGCCATAATGAACATGTATGAACATGAATGCCAACGATAGACATAAAAAAACAGCCTCCACCTAGGCAGTCAATAAACATAGTAGCAGGATCTGCAATAAACCAAGCACTGGGGATGGGATGAGGCCATGAGGTTATATACAAGAACATAAAACGTGGTCTGTAAGAACAGACTCTGAGATCAAGAAGGTAAGGAGGGAGAAATATTAGGATTCCTAATGAGATCCACCATGTAATTCAATATGTCTGCAATGATTCCTCCTCTTTCCATAACCTGGACAATATGAACCATCTGGTCTTTGGGACCAGTGCAGGAGCCAGCCAGAGTCACACAGGAGAAAAGATAAAGACATGGAAAGTTCTGATTCAGAGAAGTCGGAGGACAGGTTTCAGTGGTTGTTTGTGGTGGTGTGAGGGGGGTTACCTTAAGCCAGGACTAAAGTGGAACAAAAGACAGAATCCTTTCCTTTTGGACCAAATAAGTCACATTGTCAAAAGAAAGACCACAGTGGGCTGTGGCTTGAAGTCAGTTAGATTTTATTAATAAAACAAGTTGCTATGTACATATATTGAAAACAGAACAGAGAGAGGAGACGGACTATTAAGGATTTAGGTGCCTAAATTGGGAAACCAATTTGTAGCTAAGAATTTACAAGTCAGATGTAATTTCCTGGGCAGAAAGCTTCAGAACAGGATACAGAACAATCTGTGACAAGGACATAGATCTTATTGTTTGAGGAGGTGGGGTTAGGGAGCAATTGGAATAGGGGAGAAGAGGAGGTTTAGTTTTATTACACATCTTATTTCCCTAAGCAAAAGAATATCTGTGAGACGGATTCTCGGAGTGCTTCTATCAAAGATGCATAAAATTTCAAGTCTAGAGATTTAAAACTATAGCCCATCTAGTCTAACATACTGGCAATTGCAGGTTGAGGTTGACTTTCTCAAAGTCATATGGCAACTTGTTTGATAGACATAAATAACTTGTTAAAAATAAATAATGAGGTTAGGATACAGAATAACTTGATAATAATATATAATAGCTAAAATATATTAAGAATTTATTATGTGCCAGGTGTTATTCTAAGTATCATACAATATTATCCTATTTAATGTTTATGATTACTTAATAATATCTAGATTCCACTGTTATCCTCATTTTTCAGATAAAAAGATCTAGTGAGGTGTATCAACCAGGGTAGACCAGATTAAGTTATTGTAACAAATAACCGTCAAATTCCCAATGGCTCAGTACAGCCATGTTTATTTCTCTCTCATGGCTCAAGTCTATCACAGGTCACCAGGGGGACTCTGCCTATTGTAGTTACTAGGCTGATGGAATGGCTACCATCTTGAATGTTGCTCGTCATTGTGCTAAAGGGACAAGAGAGAATTCTGGAGAATCTGGTATTGGTTATTAAATGCTATAGCCAAGAAGTTACATATGACACCTTTGCTCAGAATTCTGTGACCAGATCTAGTTACACAGCACCACCCACCCACAAAGAAGCCAGGGTTCCAGTCTTCTTGGTGCCAAGAGGGGAGGGGAACTGACCATCTATGAACAGTGTCAGTGACCGCCACAGAAGTTAAGCAACCTTGCCAAGGTCACACAGCTACCCATTTGTGGATCTGAGTTTAAATGTAGCCACAGACCTTAGATCTCAGGCTTCTTACCCCTGGGCTGCTCTGCCACCCAATGAGATTCCCATAAAAGCAGCCGAGCAGGGAGACCATTTTCCTTCGGATATTTCTGGGTTTTCCTGAGAAGTACTGATAATGAGAAAGAATCTTAAGTTCCTGGCCCTTTAGGGAGTGGATGAATATATCATGCTAAAAATAAAGGTAAGTCTCTGAAGACCTATTAAATGACAGGAAAAGAAAAATTTTCATCCACATTCCTGGTAATAGTTTCAGCTAGTGCCCTGCCTTGCTGCCCCTAAACTCAACCCAATGATTCAGAGTAGTCTGAATATTCCTTACTGATAGCCAAGGAGAGTTATTCCTAGGAAAAATGGTCATGTTTTCAAGGTAATCTATGCTTTTGATCTAGTGTGCTATCTGAAGCCAGAAGTATCAGTTATACTGATGCTTTTAATAAAATGGACTCAAAATCATTGGGAATTGGAGGGAAGCCAATATTTCAATCAGTTAGATACCTGACTTGTCATTAGATGATAACAATTTCCAGTCTCTGCTGATGTGGGCTGGATTTAAAGACTGGCTATGCAGAGGAAGCCTCCACGATTCGTTAGTCATTGCACCACACCACTGAATCTTAAAAGGATGTATTTATTAAAGAAGACTTCTCTTTTCATGTGGGCTCACTATGTGCCAAGAGATATATTCTTTATCAGAGGTTACAGCTAGGTCAAAAGGATAACCCCCTTAAGTGACCAGAAAGGGAATTACATTGCAGCAATAGTTTACAACACCAGATGGGTGAAAGAATGTTCATTGGTCCCCCGTTCTTGAATCCTCCATAGTATGAATATATACCCAAGTCCTTGCCCTGGCCTCATCATGATGAGCAGGGAGTCTGCCCCTTGACTTTTAGGCTTGGGCCATGTGACTCGCCTGGCAAATGGGAGGATATTGAACATGATGTGAGCAGAGGCTTTCAATGCACCTCCATGGTCATGCTCAGCCTCTTCTCTTGCCCTCCTATATCAGATAGCTGCTGTTCCAAGGAGGGTGAGACACATCTGGAGCAGAAGGGACCCAACACATAGCTAGACAGGTCAAACCTCAGTTGACCTGCACACCCATGAGCTTATTGTTGTATGTCCCTGAGTTTGGGTGGTTTGCTATGCAGAAGAATTATGGCTCTAGCTTACTGATACAACAGGGCTCTAAAATAAATGCACCTATCAAAAATTGCTGAAGCCACACAAATGCTTAATAATAAGAATCAATGAGTCCTGGAGGTCGGGTATCCTAAAATCCAATGCTTTTTAAGAATCTAAAAATTCCAATTACACCACCTACCATTTTCTTAAAAATTCTTAGGGCCTTATACTCCTCTGTAGCCCATTCTGTTGTTCTGTAGCCCATTCTGTTGTGTCAGGAAAATCTGTGATAGCTGAGGTTGGTTCCAGAGCATGGTCCATTGCAACATCAGCTAATAATACTGCTTTTGAATATATATACATATACATATATATATGTGTATATATATGTGTGTGTGTGTGTGT